ATTATATTTCATTTATTTCTTCTTCAAACCCTCGGGAAAGTTAGATCTAAAGTGGGGCCCCAAAAGAGGGGCCCCCGGCAGTTAGGGGGCCCCCCTGCGGTGTACGTACACCTGGAAATGGCTTGCTGCAGCAGCAGCAGCAGCAGCAGCAGCTGCTGTGTTGGTTGCTGCTGCTGCTGCTGCTGCTACGCCGGCGCTGCAGCTGCTGAGGAGGTCAAGGCCCTGGAGTGCGTTGTGGCAGCTGCAGAAGCAGCAGCAGCAGCAGCAACTGCAGCAGCAGCAGCAGCAACAGGAAAAGCGCTGCTGCAGCTGCAAAACGCAGTAACTCGGTGCTGCCTCAACAGCAGCAAGGAGGCCCCGTGCGCGCTGGAGCAGCAGCAGCAGCAGCAACTGGCTGCTGCTGCCGCTGCTGCTGCTGCTGCTGCTGCTGCTGATGGTGCAGCAGCAGAACTGCCTGTACAACCCAACCCCCCAGAAGAAAAAACAGCAGCAGCAGCAGCAGCAGCAGCAGCAGCACTAACAGAAGCAGATGATATACTGCTAGGCACTGTGGAGCCGCTGCTTTGGCAGCTGCAGCAGCAGCAGCTGCTGCTGCAGCAGCAAGCAACAGCAGCAGCAGCAGCAGCTCAAACGCTGCAGCGCAGTTGCAGCAGCAGCAGGAGCAGCAGCACGAGAAACCAAAGGGGTTTCAGGCCTGCAGCAGCACCATCTGCTGCTGCTGCTGCTGCTGCTGCTGCTCCGTGTGCTGCTGCCCTCTCGGAGGCTGTTGTCTCGCTGCTGCAGCGTGATGCAGCGTTTAAGCTGCTGCTGCTGCAGGAGGTGGCAGCAGCAGCAGCAGCAGCAGCAGAAACGAAGGGGGCAGCAGCAACTGCTGCAGCAGCAACAGCAAAAGCAGCACGCCTCGCTTGGCTAGCGCAGCCTTTTGCAGCAGAACTGCAGCAGCACCTCCTGCTGCTCCGCCGCAGGCTGCTGCTGCTGCAGCACAAGCAGCAGCAGCAGCAAAAGCAGCAAAAGCAGCAGCAGCAGAAGCATGAAATGCCACTAGCGACTCACGCATTCAATACTTAGCGCAGAGGGATGCAGCAGCAGCAGCAACAACAACAGCAGCAGCAGCAGCAACAGCAACAGCAGCAGCAGCGGCAGCAGCAGCAATTGCAACAAATGCAATTGCGGCCGGAACAGCAGCAGCAGCAGCAGCAGCAGCAGCAGCAGCAGCAGCAGCAGCAACCGCAGCAAACGAGTAAAGGGGCATTTCTTCGTCTTCCCTTGCGACGCTTGAAGGTCAAAGGCTTAAGCTTTTGGATTCAGGGTTTAGGGTTTAGGGTTTAGGGTTTAGGGTTTTGCTGCGTGGCGAGTTGCTGCTAGCCAATACCCAAACGCTAGCTAGCTAGCTAGTTAGCTAGCTGGCTAGCTAGCTAGCTAGTTAGCTAGCTGGCTAGCTAGCTAGCTAGCCAGCTAGTTAGCAGAGTCTCAAGGCTGGCTAGCTAGCTGGCTAGCTAGCTAGCCAGCTAGCTAGCTAGCTAGCCTTGAGACTGCACAGCTAGGCAGCTGCCTGGCTAGCAGCGGCGCCCCACAGCTAGCTGGCCAGCTAGCTAACTGGCTAGCTAGCTGCCTAGCTAGCTAGTTATCTGCCCACCTGGCTAGCTAGCTGCCTAGCTAGCTAGCTAGCTAGCTGCCTGGCTAGCTAGCTAGCTGCCCACCTGGCTAGCTAGCTGGCTATCTATCCAGCTACCTGGCTGGACAGCCAGCTAGCTAGCTAGCTGGCTGTCTATCTATGCAGGTATCTAGCTGGGTAGTTAGCTAGCCAGCTAGCCAGCTAGCTAGCTGGCCAGCTAGCTAGCTAGCTAGCTAGCTAGCTAGCTAGCTAGCCAGCTAGCTGTGGGGCCCGGGGCAAAGGGTAGTGGCGAGGCTCCCGGGCCTGCGGGTGACTCATGTGGGGGTCTGGGGCGTCGGCGGTTTTATTTTTTGTTTGAAATGGACAACTGGAGTGAATTAAATGAAATAAAATGAATAAATTAAATAAATTAAATTAAATTAAATTAATTAAATTAATTAAATTAAATTAAATGAATTAAATTGGATTAATAAGTGGGCTTTTGCAGCTTTAATGCCCGCCGGGTGTCGGCAGCAGGTCACTTGCTGCTGCGGGCGCGGGCTCGCGGGGGGCGTTTGGAAACGGCGGAAGTGCCTTTTGAAGTGCAAATGGAGTTCTTTTTGAATAATTAAAAACTTAAATTAAATTAAATAAATAAATGAATGAATTTAAGTCGAAAAATCCGGAAAAAAGGCGGTTTCAGCGGTTGATTTGCTGCGGGGGTTCGCAGGACCACTCGAGAGGCCAGCGGGTGGCTGCGTCTGCGGCCGCCGTTTTCCGCGTTTATTCCTTTAAATTGCGTTAAATTTAAATTAAATTTAAACTAAATTTGAATTAAAAATGTTTAATTGCGTAAATGTGTAAAGTGCAGTTCAAGTTGCGCTTCGAAGGAGGCGACGAGGTGTACGTACACCCCAACTCGATCCGCGCACCAATGCAGAAACTCGATTAGCTTTCTGGACTTTTACCCCGCGCTGATTCCCGCTGACAAGTCCATTTGATTTAAATGCAGTTAAAAGCGGAGAAGCGCAGCCTCTTTCCGGTTCTGCAGCAGCAGCTGCTGCTCCCGCTGCTGCTGCTGCTGCTGCTGCGGTGTACCTACAGTCATTGCTGCTGCTGCTGCTGCTGCTGCCCCAGCTAGCCACACTTTAAGCATGCACAGACACAGACTGCATGCGCTGCCTCTGCAGGGGCCCCCTGACCCTCTTTTAGTTCCTCTGAAGCCCGCGGGGGGCCCCTCGAGGCGCAGCAGGCAGGGCTCCTCTGCTGCTGCTGAAAAGCAGCAGCAGCAGCAGCAGCAGCAGCAGCAGGAGCCGCAGCAGCTGCTGCTCACCTGCTGCATATACCCCAACAGCAGGTCAAGGCCGCCCCTCTTCAGGGGGGCCCCTCAAAGGGATTCCCACAGAAGCGCCTCTCGCGAGCAGCAGCAAAAGCAGCAACAAAAGAGGCAGCAGCAGCAGCAGCAGCAGCAGCAGCAGCAAAAGCCTTTAGCCCACTACAGCTGGCAGCTTCCCGTAGCTGCGCTACGCGACGGCTCCGTCTCGAGGGGTTTAGAAGCAGCAGCAGCAGCAGCTGCTGCTGCTAGCTGCTGCACATGCAACGGGCCCTGCAGCGGCGCGGGGGCCCCCATGGGGGCCCCCCTGGGGGCCCCCCTGGGGGCCCCCTTGGGGGCCCCCAGCGAACTGTCTGGTGTAGGTCTTTAAACCCTCAACACTCAGTTTAGGGTTTGAATGGTTTAAGGCTTCTCTAAACCCTAAACCCTAGTCCCTAAACCCTAGTCCCTAAACCCTAGTCCCTATAAACGCCAGCCCCTGAACCCCCGCAAGCCCTTTCTTATGAATCCTCCTGCTGCTGTTTCTGCTGCTGCTGCTGCTGCTGCTGTTTCTGCTGCTGCTGCTGCTGCTGCTGCTGCTGCTCCTCAGGCATACGCAGCAAGCCACCTAGCAGCACGGGGCCCCTCCACCCCCTGCCTTCTTCCGTCTTCGGGGGCCCCCCCTTGTCAGTACCCTTTTGGCGTTGAGCCTATGAGGCCCCTTATGGGGGCCCCCGTGGGGGCCCCCGTGGGGCCCCCCGTGGGGGCCCCCGTGGGGGCCCCTGTGGGGGCCCCCGGTGGGGCTCCCCTGGGGGCCCCCGTGGGGGCCCCCGTGGGGGGCCCCGTAGGGGCCCCTGTGGGGGCCCCTGTAGGGGCTCCCGTGGGGGCCCCCGTGGGGGCCCCCGTGGGGGCCCCTGTGGGGGGCCCCCTGTGCAGCAGTGGGTCTGTTGGTGGGCTGCCTCTTTTGCCTTACGGGGCTTCTCCAGTGTCTTCGTTATTTTCGATATCGGGTTTGGTGCCTCCTGCTGCAGCAGCGAGCGCTGCAGCAGCAGCAGCAGCAGCAGCGGGTCTGCCGCCGGCCGCAGCAGCAGCAGCAGCAGCAGCAGCAGCAGGAACTCTGCGGCAGCAGCAGCGGCTCTCCGAACTCCCCGCCCCCCCCCCAGGCCACCCCTTGCCTTGCATAGTTTATTCTCCCAAACTAAGAAGTATAATAGTTCATTTTTCGCTGCCTCCTCTGTGCAGTTTGCTGCAGGGGGCCCCCCGGGGGGCCCCCAGCCCCCAGTTTCTTAGGGCCCTCCGCAGCCGCTCGTACCCTATTCCAGGGGGCACTTACTGCCGCCTCTTCAGCAGCAAAAGGTACGGGAGGCCCTTAGCTGAGGCCCTGGCTTTGCAGTTTGTGGCTCGCTTGCAGGCGGAGCTGCAGGGGGCCCCTGCTGCTGCTGCTGCTGCTGCTGCTGCAGCAAGCAGCAGCAAAAACGCAGGCAAAGAGCAAGCAGCAGCAGCTCACGCGGCTAACCAGCAGCAGCAGGGGGGCCCCAGGGGCCCCAGCCGAGCAGCAGAAGCCAAGGCAGCAGATAAAGAGGCCCACAGGAAGGCGCATGCAGCGCCTGCTGCTGCTGCTGCTGCAGCAGCAGCAGCAGCAGCAGCAGATAAGACTTCAACTGGGAAAGCAGCAAATGGAGGGAAGCAACACACAGAAGCTCCCAGCAGCGCCCAGCAGCAAATGCCTGAACAGCTGCGCGAGGCAGCGGACGCCCCGAGCCCTCATGCTGCAGCAGCAGCAGCAGCAGCAGCTGCTGCTGCTGCTGTTGCTGCTGCGGCTCCTGACCACGCTGCTGCTGCCGACGCTGCTGCTGCAGCTGTGGCTCCCCAGAAGAGGCCAAGGGGGCGTCCACGAATTTGCGGAGGTGACGCTGCTGCTGCTGCTGCTGCTCAGCAACTTGCAGGCGAAGAGCAGCAGCAGCAGCAGCAACAGCAGCAGCAGCAACAGCAGCAGCAGCAACAGGTCACAGACCCCGAAGAAGGCGCCGCAGAGACGGAAAAGGCGTGGCAGCAGCAGCGCGGGCGAAAGAGGCATAGACTGAGCGACAGCAGCAGCAGCAACTGCAGCAGCAGCAGCAACTGCAGCAGCAGCAGCAGCACCCACAGCAGCAGCAGCAGCCTCGAGATGCCTGCGCGACGCGGTAGGCCCCTGCAGCAGCAGGGGCTGCTGCAGGTCTCTGTGGGTCCCAGCAGCAGCAGCAAGCGCAGCAGCAGCAACAGCAGCAGCAGCAGCAGCGCCACTGCCGAGGACTGGTTGCCTCCAGCAGGAAATATCACAATAAAGATCAGCAGCAGCAGCAGCAGCAGCAGCAGCAGCAGTCCAGCTGCTGAAAAAGCCCCCAAGAGGCCCCAGCGAGCTGCTGCTGCTGCTGCTTCCCGCCTATTCCAACTAGACCATGACCACGGAGAGCAGCAGGAGACTCAGAGGCAGGAGCAGCAGCAGCAGCAGCAGCAGCAGCAGCAGCGACAGCCGCAGCAGCAGCAAGTAGAGGAGGAAGACGACGAGAAGCAGCAGGAGGACACGGACCAGCAGCAGCAGCAGCAGCAGCAGCAGCAGCAGCAGCAGCACAGGAAGCAGAAGCAGCGGCAGCAACGCAAGCCTAGTGGGCCGCTGAAGCTAAAGGGTCGGCTGCCAGCAGCCGCTCAGACCCCACAACAGCAGTGACAGCAGCAGCAGCAGCAGCAGCAGCAGGTCTTACTGCAGCAGCTCGTAGCAGCAGCAGCAGCAGAAGCAGCAGCAGCAGCAGAAGCAGCAGCAGCAGCATTTAGTGAAGAGGCCTCACATGCATTTGCTGCTGCAGCTCCTCTTCATCTCTGGGGAATGAGGGGGCGGACCGAGAGCAAGTGGCGGCAGCTGCAGCACAAATGCAGCAGCAGCAGCAGCAGCAGCAGCAGCAGTAGGAACAGCAACAGCAGCTGCTGCAGCAGCAATAGCAGCAGCTGCAGCTAAAGTGGCTGCAGTGCAAAATGAGGCTCTTGACAAGCAGCAGCAAAAGCATGTGAGGGCGCAAAGACATACGGAACTATCAGCCAATCTAGAGACTGCTGCTGCTGCTGCTGCTGCTGCTGCTGCTGTCGCTGCTGCTGCTGCTGCTGCCGTCGCTGCGGCTGCTGCTGCTGCTCGGGGCCATCTTCTAGCAGCTCTGCGGGCTGCAGCAGCAGAGTCAAATTGGGGTCGAACCAGCGCAGATAACCCCTCACACGTACGCTGCTGCTGCTGCTGCTGCTGCTGCTGCTGCTGCTGCTGCTGCTGCTGCTGCTGGTTGGGTCAGTCCCGCGGCTCCTGAGGAACTGTAGGGCGTTGGGGTGTACGTGGACCTCGAGCTGCTGCTGCTGCTGCTGCCACAGCCGCAGATGCGCTAAGGGGCCCCTCAGGGGGAGCCCCTTACCCCCTCCAGCAGCAGCAGCAGCAGCAGCAGCAGCAGCAGCACGAGCTGCACTTCGTCTGAGGACGCGCTGCGGCAGCAGCTGGCCTGCAGCAGCAGCAGCAGTGCAGCAGCAGCGCAGCAGCAGCAGCAGTGCAGCAGCAGCGCAGCAGCAGCAACCTGCAACCGTGGGAACTGAACTATAAAAGGAATCAAAGACAAGTGCGCGACGAAGCAGCAGGCAACCCGAACCACCGGCTAGTCAAGCAGCAGCAGCAGCAGCAGCAGCAGCAGCAGCAGCAGCAGCAGCAGCAGCAGTGGTGGTGGTGCTGCTGTTACCTGTAAATCTCAGCGATAAAATGTGAGAGGCCAAAGCGCCGCTCCGCTTCGATACAGCAGCAGCTTGCCGGAGGTCTGCAGCAGCAGCAGCAGCAGCAGCAGCAGCAGCAGCAGCAGCAAGCACAGAAGCAGCTGCACGACAGAAGGACACGACCAGTGCAGCAGCAGCAGCAACAGCAGCAGCACGGCAGCAGCAACGGAAGAAAGGCAAAAGCAGGGAAGCAACAGCACCGAACGCAGCAGCAGCAGCAACAGCAGCACCAGCAGCAGCGACAACAGTAGCAGCAGCAACAGCAGCAGCAGCAGCAGTAAAAGAAGCAGCAGCAAGACCTACCCAGTCTTAGCTGCTTGTTTTTCGCTGCGTTAAGTTTGGCATCAAAGGCCGTTCGCTTCAGCGGCCCTTGGTCTCCTGCTGCTGCTGCTGCTGCTGCTGCTGCTGCTGCTTCATTATCAGCAGCAGCTGCTGCTGCTGCTGCACTGGTCTGTGGCTGATGGCCCCACGGCAGCAGCAGCTCCGCAACTCGGATGTTCGGCAGAGCGGCTGTTCCTGCTGCTGCTGCTGCTGCTGCAGCAGAGGCGGGCTGCTGCAGCAGCAGCAGCGGGTCAAAGGATGGGCTGCAGAAGTCCAGTCGCTCGTCCTGCTGCAGCTGCTGCAGCTGCTGCTGCTGCTGCTGCAGCGCCGGGTGTCTGCTCACCTCATATTTGCCACAGGCGCTTTTGCCCTCTTTCGAATCATCTCCGGCGGAAGCCATTGGTGGGCCTCCAGCAGCAGCAGCTGCAGCAGCAGCAGCAGCTGCTGCAGCAGCAGGGCAGCAGCTGCAGCAGCAGCAGCTGCAGCAGCAGCTGCAGCAACTAGCTGCTCTAGAGGCCCCGTGACTTCATGCGCAGCAGCTCAGTTTCCGTTTTTCCGAACTCCGAGCAGAAGAGGCTGAGAAGTTTCGGCGGCTTTGAGGTGTACGTACACTCGATTTCAGGGGAGGTCCTGGCGGAGTTGGGGTGTACGTACACCCGAGGGTTTCTGAAATGTTCGAAACGCCGGAGAAGATCCTCCACGAAAGAAAGTAAAATGGTTTTATTTTAAGTTTTCTAATTCCGCATTTATTTATTTTATTTATTTTCCCGTTTCTTAAACGCAGGCCTGGCTCCTGGGGGCCCCTGGGGGCCCCTGCAGGCCCCACCGCCCCTCCCTGGGGGCCCCCGGGGGCCCCCCGCGGGTCACTTTTTTCGTGCAAACTCTGCGGTAAAAGCAGAAAGTTTTTTGTAAATTTGTTTTCTTTTTCTGGAATTTAAAGCCTTAGTCTGTTTTCTTTTTTGTGTTGCGGCGTGCGCGTTCGCGCGGGAACTTTTTGAACTCTTTTGGAACTGAAATGAAACCCAACGGCTCGCTGGCGAGCCGTTGGGCTGGGGTGTACGTACACCTCAGCCCCAGGACTCCGCGAAACAGCAGAAACGCCGCTGCTGCTTTTTCAGTTTTATTTTTTTGAATTTTTTTTGAAATTTATTTTCAAACTCGCGCGGCTTCGCGGATCAAGTTGAGGTGTCTCTCCAGCTCGTCTTCCTGGTCCAGGGTGTCGGGAAATTCAGAAATGGAATTTTCAGACTTTTCAATTATTCTTCAATTTATAATTTTATTTTCAGACTTTTCAATTATTCTTCCATTTATAATTTTATTTAATAGTGCTGCTGCTGCTGCATTTAAACAAAAAAAAACTTCAAAAAAATCCCACCTCTGCGTCTTCTATTGAAGAGAAAAAACAAAATCGCGCTGAGTCCTCTTCTGCTTCTGCTGTTGTCGCCCGAGAGGCATTTGTTAGCAGCTGCAGCAAGTCCAATTAGCAGCAAAGTTGAAGAGTTTGATGCAGAAAACTTAGGGTTTAGGGTTTAGGGTTTAGGGTTTAGGGTTTAGGGTTTAGGTACTTGGGCTCGCTGTATCCACTTGGAAACAAATTCGTCGTCTTGTTCCACACTTTCAGTTTCGCTGTTTTCATTTGAGTCTTTTTCTGCCTCTTCTCCATTTCTCCGAATTCCCTAAAAGTGAAAATATTAAAAGCGAAAGCCAGGAGCTGCAGCAGCAGCAGCAGCAGCAGCAGCAGCAGCAGCAGCAGCAGCAGCTGCGGCAGCACCTCCAGTGTACGAACACCAGCAGCGCCTGCAGGTGTACGTACACCTGGTTTCTCCGCGGAGTCCGGGAAAATGAGGAAAGGCTCCGAAGCTTCTGAAGAGGCCTCCGAGGGGCCCCCTTTTGCTGCAGCAGGGGGGCCCCCCTGGAGGTCTATGCCGGGGGCCTCAGTACCCACCCATCTGGGGGCTGGGCCTTCGTCTTTGCCTTCGCCTGAGCAGCAAAACAAATAGTATTGATGCAGCAGCAGCAGGCAAAGACCGGGGGTGCAAGCGCAGCAGCAGCAGCAGCAGCAGCAAAGCAGCTGCAGCAGCAACAGCGAAGCAGAGGCAGCGGGGCAGCGGCGCTGCTGCCGCCGCCGCGAAGCAGCACAGACGCTGCAGCAGCAGCGCTGCAGCAGCAGCGCTGCAGCAGCAGCGCTGCAGCAGCAGCAGAAGAGCAGCAGGAACTGCAGCAGCACTGCAGCAGCACTGCAGCAGCACTGCAGCAGCACTGCAGCAGCAGATGCTCACCGAAGCCCGGGCTCCGCTGGGCGAGGTCTCGGCGGTAGTCGACGAAAATGCCAATTAGAAAAAGAATTAAAAAAAACAAAAAGAAAAAGACGTCCGTGGGGTCGCTCCACTTGAACTGCACAGCAGCAGCAGCAGCAGCAGCAGCAGCAGCAGCAGCAGCAGCAGCAGCAGCAGCAGCAGCAGCAGCAGCAGCAGCAGCAGCAGCAGGGGGGAAAGGATGGAAAAGCTGCAGCAAAGTCGAGTTTTGGATTTATTTCTCACTTTTGATGGATAAGAAATAAAAGATAAAACGTCAAAGGCCGAGGCCTTCGCCCCCGCGAAGAAGGCCCAGGCGAAGGCGGCAGCGGCGGCGGCGCCGAAGGCGTTGGTGGTGCTGCGGTCCGCGTGGAAAGCGCGGGTTTAGGGTTTAGGGTTTAGGGTTTAGGGTTTAGGGTTTAGGGTTTAGGGTTTAGGGTTTAGGGTTTAGGGTTTAGTAAAAAGGTTTAGGGTTTAGGGTTTAGGGTTTAGGGTTTAGGGTTTAGGGTTTAGGGTTTAGGGTTTAGGGTTTAGGGTTTAGGGTTTAGGGTTTAGGGTTTAGGGTTTAGGGTTTAGGGTTTAGGGTTTAGTAAAAATCGAAAATTATTTTTTGATTTTTAATTCAGAAATGATAATTATTTTCATTTTTCAACTTTAGGGTTTAGGGTTTAGGGTTTAGGGTTTTGCTAAAGAACCGGCAGCAGCAGCCACTGACGCAGTCACTCCGTTCTGCACGCAGCGCCGGAACCGCCGCTGCGCCAGCCACAGCAAGCAGCAGCAAGCTGCTGTCGCCAGCAGCAGCAGCAGCCAGTGGAAGCCCCAGCCTGCAGCAGCAGCAGCAGCAGCAGCAGCAGCAGGATTGGAGCGGCAATGTGAGATGCAAAACGCCGGTGAAGGGAGCCTGCAGCCTTGTGCAGCAGCAGCAGCAGCAGCAGCAGCAGCAGAAGAAACTGAAGTCAGCAACACTCTGCAGAAACTGCTGCTGCAGCGCAGCAGCAGCAGCAGCAGCAGCAGCAGCAGCAGCAGCGCGAGCGAACGGACCAGTGGTCAAGATGGTTTCCTGCGGAAAACAAGTCACGTAGACCATGTTGGAAATGATGAAACTGGCCCAGAAGATCCCGCAAAGGGGAAAGAATCTGTCGGGCTGGAGAAAGCTGAAAAAGAAATAAAACAAAATGAAAAAGACTTCTGGAAAGCAGCAGCACAGCTTCCAAGTCACCCGTAAATGCCAACTGCTGCTGCCAAGTCTGCAAGAACTGCAGCAACAATTGGAAATATTCCGAGAAGCAGTGCTGCCTGAAAAGCTGCAAGTGCAGAAACTTTTGTTTTTATTTTGCATTTTTCACCTTTAAAACAAATCCGAAGGCCATAAAGCCTAAGTTGAAGGCTGGGGCTTGGAAGTGCGAAGTTGCAAATTCAAAAAAACTTGAACAGAGTTACCGCTGTACCAACTCTTCATCAGCGGCGTGCGGGAAGTTCCCGTGAGCCAAATGACTGCAGCATTTTGAATTAATTTCAAAAAGTGTTTTCAAAATTCAATAAAGTCCTCACAAGCGGGAAAGGCCGAGGAATACGGCAGCAAGACCAAAGATCCCACCACGGGGTCGCTGAACTGCAGCGCGCTGAAGAGGAAAAGCGGCGAAAACTCCCACTCCGAAGTCGGCTTTGCAGCTTTTTGCAAAAGCTGCAAATTAAAAATTGTTTTTTATTTCTTTTTCCGCATTTACTTACGAGCTTTCCACTCATCGTCGGCCCGCGGACCGGCAACTTGGTACGGCGCCACCCACGCCCGCGAGCCCGACTTCAGCCGCGTGCAGAAAACATTTTTGTTTTGCAAAAGTGAAAGAAATAAAAGAACAAAAAGAAATAACTGCATCTTTCGCGCCGCAGCGTATCCCCTAAACATGCTGCTGCTGCTTCAAGAATTAATTCAGTTCAAATTGTTGCAGCTTCGACAAAAGCTGCCTGTACACCCGAAATCCGCTGCGCGGCCTGCTGAGCCCCAGCCATTCTGAACTGCACTTTTGTCATTTTGCGGCTTTTCTTCCTCCCTTTTCTCTCTGTTTTCGCTGCTGCTGCTCGAAAGCAAAAGTTGCAATGAAGGCTCTTCACTGAAACGAAACTTTTCTTCTTTTCTGCTTCTTTTCAATTGGCCGAAATCGATTTCCTGCACGGCTTTCCGAGCAAGCCGTGCAGTGCAGCGGCCACGCTTGCCGGTGGAAAGCTGAATTCAGCTTCAACTAACTATCATTATTTGTTATTATTAATTGTTATTATTATTCTTACAAGTTCAAGCAGCTGCGAACTGTTCAAAGCGCCATTCACTGCAGCTTTCCCTCGCTTTCCAGCCTCTCTACGCTGCACTTGCCTGCAGCTTCCTGCAGCAGCTGCCGCCGCAAAGACCCGAAAGCTTCAACTTTTCGACAAAACAATTAACTCGACTTGTCAAATGTTGCTGCTGCTGCTCGCAGCCCTGAACGCCGCCGCAGCTGCAGCAGCTGCAGCAGCGGGGGCGAAACGCCATTCCAGTTTCTTCCGCTGCAGCCTCGCTAGCGCTAGCTAGCACTGGCAGTGGCTAGCTAGCTAGCTAGCTAGCAGCCAGCCAGCTAGCTGGCTAGCTGGCCAGATATCTGGCGCTATCTGGCTCGCTGGCTAGCTGGCTGGCTAGCTAGCTAGCTGGCTAGCTAGCCACTGCGGGCTCTACTGCGGGCTCCCCGCCCGGCTCTTCGAAGTGCACATTTTCGGGAATGGAAGCCTCGAGGAGATTGGCCTCAAGTTCCTCCAAGTGTCTTCTGCAGGCAGCAGTTGCTGCTCCTGCTGCTGCTGCTGCTGCCTGCAGCAGCAGGCGCAGCAGCAGCAGCCCCAGCGCCGGGGGCGCATGCAGCAGCGGCGACCACAGGGCGTAGCGGCTCCAAACAGAAGAAGACAAAATAAAAGAAAAAAAGATTTCACTTAAAGGCCTCCGAGCAGCAGCAGCGCAGCAGCAGCAAGCTGCAGCAAGCAGACACGGCAGCGCCCGCTTGTGGTCCAGCAGCGCGCGCAGCAGCAGCACCTGAAGCAGCAGACACAGCAGCAGCAGCAGCAGCAGCAGCAGCGGTGAACGCGGTGTCCGCAGACACAGCAGCAGCAGCAGCAGCAGCAGCAGCGGTGAACGCGGTGTAGGAACACCGCAAGACGCGCAGAGCGAGGCTGTTCGTCACGC